CAAAAAGTGCACAAGAAAGGCAAAAAACATTCGCAAGATCTCTGGCCCCAGGCTAAGCAGCTCGAACTTACGCAAGGTCGCAGATGGAGATGCCCGAATGATTTCTTCAATGACGAGATGATTGCTGAGGTATTGTCTTGTCAGGCGGAAGTCATTCGTGGTAAAACAATGGGGTAAGAATAATGATCATAATAAAAAAAATTAAATTTAATGTAAAAATGCGGTAAAGATCTTTAAGATTAATTCAATTCTGATTTTTCAAAGATTTTTTAATTGATTATTACAGAGTAAATTTCAAGAAGTACGAAAAAACAAATTTACCAAATTACGACTACCTGATAAACTCGAGTGTCTATAAGATGATTCATAAAATGGAACGAGAACCGAAAAAGGGCATCCCTGCGAGACCCGCTAAAGTCAATGCAGCTGAAGACATAATAGAGAGAGTTGTAAGCTATTCTTTGTAATTTTTCACGATCGTCAGTATAAATCGTTTAGAGAAAATGAAAATGATGATAATTAATTGTGAATCGACAACCAAAGAATTTACTCTTAAACATTTTTAATAGTTTATGATTGAAACTTTTTAAATAAATTTGTTTAATGATGTTTAATGACATACGTTTATTGACAATTAATTATTATCATTTTCACACACAAAAAAGAAATTTTGTATTATATAATATTATTCTCATAAATAATAAACGTCATTTAACTTGAAACCTAAAGCTAACTTTAAGCTTAAAACTAAAATTAAGCGAACAACATAATCTGCCTAAATATATATATTTTTTAATAAAAAAAAAAATAATTTTATCAAATTGAAAATTAAACGATACATCTCTCTCTCTGTAATTTAATCAGATTATTATTCTTATCATGTTTTAATCATGTAGAATAAAAAGCAAATCTGAATTCTCATAACGATGTTTCTTTCAGAAATCACCGGCATTGAGCATTGTAGATGACAGAAGCATTCGAAGCGTCAGTCACTAATGCAACAGCGACTATAATATCATATAGTTTATATGCGAGAAATTTATGTATTTGAAGGATGTGCTACAAAATGGATTTGATATATTTGAGCAATTCAAAAAAATTACTCACAATTATTAGAAATATAATGATCTGGTTCGTTGATTTGAAAAATACTTATCGTACGATTATCGATACAACATGATTGTAATAATCCTAAGTATGTGTACATATATGTATAATCATATTTCGTCTCGCAAAAAATTTTTCTCGACGATACATTATACGTATTAACAAAAGAAAATCCACGTCCGTAATTTTCCTTTGTATAAATTTGCATCTGGAATAATTAATGCATTAAATATAAGCCGCATAAAAATTTTACGTCTGAAGTATAGCAACTATCTAATTGTTTCGTGTATTTTTAAATGTAATTATTTGGTTAGTTGCATTAAAAAATGTGTTCTATGGTTGTGTAAACTGTAAAATAGAAAAAAATTTTATGTCAAAACAAAATAATTAATTATGTTCCCCAAAATGTATTTTATTATTATATTTTTTACTAATATATCCCGCTATATTTATCGATATAAATTATTATATAGAATATCCAATGAACCAAGTACAATCATAGACGGATACTTAATTTGCAGGTACATAATTAATAGCTGGTTAGAATAATGCATAATAATTAGTTTCATAGTTTTAGAAGAAAGTGATTTAGAAAATAAGTATTTTAAAATAGTGTATATTCATTTGACTATATATAAGCATTTATGTTTATTTCTATTCGATCGGGTAAGAATATTCATTATTAACGGAGAACCTCAGTCTACCTGGTATTGTATCTTTTATTACGGTATCAGACACTGATAACGACGGTGTCAGCTTTTTTCTCGTTTTTTGAAGTAGCAAGTAATAACAATAGTATCTTCGGGACATCCCGTGTACGTATAATTATACGTGTGCCATTAATTTCACTTAATGCGGTTTAATCGGATGAGATTGCCGGATCTCCAAATACGATGATTGAAATTGACCTAGAAAGAGAGATTTCCGAGTAAATGACCGCGATTATATATCACTCACTCGGAAATCCGCACTGCTGATTCCGCCGATGATGAGTCGCGGGATATACTTTCTCCTTTCCAGGGTTTCCGAGGCCTCTGTTATCCGCGTCTCGCGTATGCGTATGACCGGCTGAGTCACGTCTGCCTTCTTGGCCGATGAACCTCTTTTTCGTCTTCTCTCTCTCTCCCTCTTTCTCATTCTCTCACTCTTGCTTGCTTAGGGTCCACGATCGTGACGTCGGCTTCGAGCAATTTATGTAAAGCATTCTAGGCATGATTCACGAACTAGTTCGCGCCCTCGTGACCGCCACCGGCGCAGAATGCAACCGCCGAGCACGGGTACAAGCGTCGAAAACTCGGGTGCATCTATCGAAATGTTCCTTCCGCAAATTTTAGAAATTGGTATATTTGTTATACAATTAATTCGTCATATGGATCGAGTTTTTTTGCAGAAATGTATTCCCTTTTGTCCTAGTTGTATATGTAATCGCAAAAAAAAAAAAAAAAATAAAGTTATTGTACATTGATACATAATATAAAAATTGGAACGAACTTTTGCCAGATATTAAAAGTAATCTAAAGTTATCTGTAGAGATAAATATCTTAATTTTTAAATTAAAATGCGAGTTTTACGCAATTAAAGATTTTTGACAAGGAGCTTGATAATTTTCCTATATGTCTCCCCACACATGCGAAGGAATTCTCGTAATATTTTTACATTACGTGCGCAGGAAGATCAAAGAGACAAGAGATTCTTCTCCCTGACATAATTCACGCGTGTCTTCGCCGCCATAACACGCGTCAATTTCGGTAAATTCATGTCTGATTGCTAAGAGACTTAATGACAGAGGTATGCGACAGTGCGGTAGAACTTATTTAATGACTTTTCATTCATGACCTCTTACGCGACTTATCGATGATTAAACTTACACTCCTCTACATTGCAAGAAAATTCTCAATTCAGGTAGAGAAGATGTTGGCCGTGCTTCTGCTTTTAAGAAATTCTATCCATCTTTATGCGTTAATATATATTTTATTCGTAACAATAAAACTAACAAAAAAAATCATTTCTTTTTCGAGTCATAAATTATTGAAAAAGTATATTAATCAAGAATAAAGTTATTGTACATTGATACATAATATAAAAATTGGAACGAACTTTTGCCAGATATTAAAAGTAATCTAAAGTTATCTGTAGAGATAAATATCTTAATTTTTAAATTAAAATGCGAGTTTTACGCAATTAAAGATTTTTGACAAGGAGCTTGATAATTTTCCTATATGTCTCCCCACACATGCGAAGGAATTCTCGTAATATTTTTACATTACGTGCGCAGGAAGATCAAAGAGACAAGAGATTCTTCTCCCTGACATAATTCACGCGTGTCTTCGCCGCCATAACACGCGTCAATTTCGGTAAATTCATGTCTGATTGCTAAGAGACTTAATGACAGAGGTATGCGACAGTGCGGTAGAACTTATTTAATGACTTTTCATTCATGACCTCTTACGCGACTTATCGATGATTAAACTTACACTCCTCTACATTGCAAGAAAATTCTCAATTCAGGTAGAGAAGATGTTGGCCGTGCTTCTGCTTTTAAGAAATTCTATCCATCTTTATGCGTTAATATATATTTTATTCGTAACAATAAAACTAACAAAAAAAATCATTTCTTTTTCGAGTCATAAATTATTGAAAAAGTATATTAATCAAGAGAAAATAATTGAGAAAAAAATAGTGTGATTTCTTTTTCTTTTTACACTTCTCACTTTATTTGAACAATCCTAAATACATAAAGTTTCTATATATTTCCTATTAAGAGTTTTTAATATATTTATATTTAAAATTAATTAATATTAATATTGTTAATTTACAATTAACGACATGTATGTGAAATCTCTATACATAAAATAAAATAAAATTCTGTGAGACAGAAAAAACTTAGAGATCTTTTTTGGAATAATTAATAATTTGTCAAAATTTTTTTTTCAATCGCACACATATAATCGTCACTTTTTTTATCAATTTTATTTAATATTTTTTTATGAATTTAATATTTTTTTATGAATTTAGAAAAATCTGACTACATTAAACAAAGCCAAACCGAAAGGGAGACATAATTAAAAACGGACAGGAATAGAAGAGATGAAAACATGTGCGCGCTTTTCTGTCATAGTCACCGAGATGGCAACTCGACATTCCCGACATTTCGCCACGACATTTCGTCCCGACATTTCGTCCTTTTTCCACCCCGGTCTTATATCGTAAATATCTTATTGCTTCTATCTTTCGTCTCTTAACTCCCACCGCTACGGTATAAGGAGCACCTTGCACGTTGCACCGGATGCACCGATGTTCATGGACACGCTTAATGATATAAATAGTCCCTTGAGAGAGCACGATAATTTCGTTCGGAAATTTAATTAATTAAGAGTACGCTCAATTTCATCCCCCACTTTTCTCCCTTTGATCTTTTGATTAATATTCATGGCGCTATAGCATCATTCGATCGATTCTATTATATTCCGTCGAGTATTTTTTCTTATTTCCGATTCTTTTTACCTCACAATTTTATGACAAAGGCAGTTTGAAGAGTTCAAACTGTCAGTTCAGATTTTGAAAGTTTCAAAAAGTATTCATTACAAAGAGAGATGATCGATGTTTATTTGTTCCTTTTCTACAAAACATTGTTTTTCTATTGTACCTGGAGTCAGGTTTGGACATACCTCAGGCATTCGAAAAATCCGAATAATTTAAAATTTGACCTCAAACTTCCAGACAGTATAACTTAGAGATTTAAACTTAACATAGTCGTGTGTGTAATTTAATACACTTTTAATTAAATTTCGTCATATGTTGCTATTTGAAGAAATTCCTGTTAGAGCAAAATAAATTTGTCTCTCTTCCTCTCTACGTCCCCACAACCTGTCTCCTACCACTGTTCCTTCCTCCTTTCTGTCTCCCCTCCTGCTTTGTATGTTCCTTCTCTTTCCTTCCGCACTCTCGTATTCCTCCTCTTCGTCCCGAATCGCGTGGCGAGGAGGCTCTGCTGCCCGACTGACCGTCCTCGGCGCCTCTTATACCTTTACTCCGGTCTGCGCGTTCTTCAGGAACGTACGTGCCCGTTCCACGTTCCACTCGAGAGAGCGCGATACATATCCCTCTTTTAAAGAGTACGTTATATACAAACAGCCAGCAAACAGACTTAATCGTTGGTGGTGCACCTCGAAATAGTCAAGTCGAGTTAAGAGCTCGTCCATCAATAACCGTTGTAGTTTTTGAAATCGTTTTTGGTACGTTTGTTCATACGTTTTATTTGCTCCGATTTGATACGCTCGACAGTTCAGTCAGACAGTGATATGGCACAGCTGATCAGCGTCAAGCTATCTAGGTTCGATGGATCCCCCTGGGGTTTTCGTCTCCAAGGCGGTAAGGATTTTGGCACGCCGCTTGTTGTGCAGAAGGTGAGTTCGTCTCAAATCTATTTAGTTCCTTATCCTGTGTTCGTATCTTTCGTCGGTTCAATGTGACATTTGTTTTCACTTAATTAAATGTAATATATTCCTCGTATTATATATTAAGGCTAGAGAAAGAGAGAGAGAGTTTGCAAAATATTAATTAAATATATAAGATTTCCTCATTCTCTCGCGTTTAACATTATTATATATAATATTATATGAATATAAAATAAAATTAGTTAAATAATCTATATATTAGATAACATTAAATAACATTACACGATGCAGAAATGATGAATAAAAAAATGCATTTTATATTTTACTTTCGTCGAAACTCTGCTAACAAACATGGTTTCTATTCTATTTATAACATAATTTACGTTCTATTTCTTTTATCTTAATTGTTGGTTATTATCGTATAGTGTTTCATGACTTAATAATAAATATCGAAAGACTCTCTTTTTCTGTCTTTTTCACTTTTTGGACTATGAAGGAATGTTTTCGAAGATCCACTTGAGTTAAATCTCAAGTTGACTGAGGCAGCAGCAGTAGCAAAAATATTTCTTGCAGCCATATTTATATATAGCGATGTTTTATAGGCTATTTTCATCTACGGTTCCTTGTCGTTCGCTTCCACAAAGCTTCTCGATAGCGAAACATTCCGATAGAGAAAATTAGTTTCAATATCAACGCCCCATATATTGCCAAATATACGATAAATTTAAGGAAAACTATACAACAACGCTTCTATATACTCTCTTCTGTACGATGGACTCGTTTGCATTTTTCTTTCACTCATAAGATATCAATTGTTACAATTGAATGGAATAGAATTTTCATTGAGCACAAAGATTAATAAAATTTCCTATTTGGCAATTGATATCCAAATGTTTTGCGCTAGCAAAGCGCTTTTATTATGCAATAATTTCTTTTTTTCTCGAAATATTGGAATTTTTGTTGCTATAAATTTTTATTATAAATAAAAAAAAATATTATTTTATTGTGCTTTTATATATAACCTAAATCGAATTATGGTATACCTATAAATAATTACTATTTATCAAATTTTTCTAATTTTTATAGCAAATTTGAATCGCTGATATAAATTTGCCGTATACTTTTATAAATGAAAATTTGATTTCACGAAGCTCCGGTACGCGGAAGCGGATTACGATAATGAACTCCGAGAGCAAAAGCGAGATGAAAGTGAAAAGCAAACGGTATCTCGTGCGACTCGTCCTCGGAAACCAAAGTTGACACTCGACAAGGAGACATATGTTGATGCTCCGTAACGCGAGTCCCTCGTTCGCAATATGCGCTTTCAAATATCGAAATCGATCTAGCTATGAAAATTAGAACTTTTTAGAATTAGAATTAGTAATCGCTTTTTATTTTACGCAAAAAAAATATGTATTAACAATAAGTACAATTAATTATGTTATTAAAAAATTTAATTAAAAACAATAAATATCGAAATAAAAATATAATTAAATACCTTTTTTAAATTTTTATCAACACAAAATTCAGATACAAAACAGTTATCTAAAATTTTGTGATTTCTGAACTTTCTGGAATTTCAAATAACCTTGCCCAGAAAAAGATAAATTTCATAATTAATGAATAACCCCTTGTCAAAATATGCTAATTATTTCTTTAATGTATGTGCACTTTACAAATCTCTTTCTCTCATCAATGCAAGTCTTCTTCATATAATTAATGTTATGATCTGATAAACAAAATATTTAATTTAAATCCATAATTTAATTAAAAGGATAATTAATTAATAAAAGGATAAGAAAAAGGAGGAAATCCGATTCACACAGAGCGAAAATTTGGCGCGAGCTTTTCCTTTTCCTTTCTGCTTTTCGCGACCGTGAGATGCGATTGAGTGTTTTGATATTACGATCTAGAAAGAGCGTTATGTAACGTGACAGCAAACGCTAAATTATTTCACGCGCATCGGCAGAAATCGTTGCCAACTACGTGCGAAACGCCGAGCTCGCCACCGCCACCACCGCCTCTGACGTGTTTTGGCGATGGTCGGCGTTGTAACACGAGAAGCTTTTGGCGAACATGTAGAGACGCGGGGCGTTCCGCGATTTTTTCCTGCATCTTTTTTTCGGGCGATTATGTAGCGTTATATAGCCATAAGCGCTATTATTACGACGCGTTTTCAACGAGTGCCAATGTCGAGGGACGACAATCATCGCAGATTTTGTAGTTCGCGCGCAACTGTCAGAAATTTGATGTTGTTGAGCATTAATATAGTCAAAATTGTTTAAAAAATTTTAATATGAATATTTTTCGTGTTATTTCGTCTACTCATTGTATTTCGAGAGCTCAAATTATTGTATTTTATCTCGATCTTCAAAGATCATTTTTCGATGTTTCAGATCATAATTATTACACGATAAATGTATATTTTGTAATATAATTATAATTATAAACAGATCATTTTTTTCACTATTATACAAACGATAATTTTTATATAATATTTGATTTGTCGTTTTGTTAAAAGGAGGATTTATATTTTTCATAAAATATATGTCTACAAAGAATTATAGTAATTTGAGTTTTCAAGGGCGGCGGGTTCCTCGGGTTTCCCTGGATTCTTGCTACATGCTTAGATCGTTTTGCGAATCTTAATGCGTCCGCGCATTGTTTTGGCAAAAGACGCGTCGAGTTATCACGGTATCGCGATCGAGTTCGAAAATGTATTCCGAAGTGCAAGGTAGAAATCGGATCGACGATCGTCTCCCGGAGAGAATCCGTGCGAAACATCTTTGACACCACTGGACTCATATTTCTCTCCTTTCTGAGAAAGTCGAGGGCGGCCGGACGCCGGCCGTATTTGCGGCCTCGTAAAATAAACGTACCACGTGGTATGTGTGTGCTAAGAAGAAGGCCAAGTTCGAAGCGCCGATTGCACAGATAAAATCGCTCAGCGCAGTCGCGATAAGCTGAGAGCCCTTTAATTCCGCGGATTTTTAATTTTAAATTATGTATTTTCTCGTCTAGCAGAAGTACATTTTACAGGATGTTCGATATGATACGTACAAAAAGCATTCATATATTGTCGTCGACGTTCTTGATTTATATAATTTTTCTTTGACAATAAACATGATAAAATGTAAACATTAGTTTTCGTTTGAGTTCGATTTAATTTTGCTTATTTTGTCTGAATTCTTCGCTAGCCGAAAAGTTTATAATGTCAAAAATTACAAAATAAATAATATGACGATTTGTTTATTTTTGTTAAATTTGATATTTTTGTTAAATAAAAATTGAGACGCGTACACGAATTAAATAAATTATCCTATTGTTTGGATTTAAATACTATGCGACTTCTAAATTCGGTAAATACTTAGATTATTCATGTTTGCAGAATAGTTTCTTTTTAAAGTTTAAGAAAAATTCGCTCACATGGTTAACCAATGGCGAGGAAGAGAAGAAGAAAGAACACCGGCGCATGTCGCTGGTAATTCGAGGCAAATTATTTGGGCGTTCTATTTCTAGAAGGTGCCTTTGCGAAACCCGCGCACGCCAGGTCGAACCTCGCTCACGACGACGAAGACAGCAGACGCCGATTTCGACGACATCGATGCTGTCTTCACGGGACGTCGTTTTTCTGAGACAGATAAATAATGCGGCCGCGAGTATCCGGTCGCGATCGCACCGAAACGAAATCAAACGGTTTCTGTTCAACGAGCAGAAAAATATTTGGATGCGCATTTTTAGAAGCCGTGAAAAAAGAATGTTAACGCGCGTTTAACAGAGTTTATATCGTAAATACGGACAGCGCACACGAGCCTTCTCGTCGATCATCGCGGCGATAAATATTTCTACCAGCAGATCGACCAAACTCGCGTAAAACCAACAAAAATATGTCTCTCTTCTTCTACTTATGAGATAGAAAAATGTGTGATGAACAAACATATCGATAAATTTTCAGTATAATCTCTAATATAAGAATTATATGGAATTCGACTATCCCCTTGTATATTTTTCACATAATGTGCACCTTTCAATACATATCCCCTGAGAATAAACATTAAAAATCATTAATGTAACAAAATTCCAATATAATGATTTCCAATATAATAAAAAAATCATTGTTTAGGGAGATTTAAAAAATCTAATTTAACTTAAATTAATTTTAATTTAATTTAACGATTCATTATTTATATATTAATAAATTGTCCAAAGTTCTTTTAGATTATATTCCATTTAACACTATATTCTGAATATCTTCATTACATTTATCGCACAAGATTTTGCCTTGGTAAAATTTTGTATCATAAATCATTTTTCTTCTGTTCTATCTACATGCATTTCCGTAATTCTAAGGCTAGTGCACCGACGACGCAAGGAAGCGTAGGCGTTCATGTTATATGATAATACTCGCTGGAAAATGCGTTATCGCAACGTGGAAGAACTCAGTATGAATTACGAGTATCGTTGTCCGATTAGAACGTCACACCGATGATAAGAATTTTTTCAAGCACGAGAGAAAATCGTCACAGGTGAAGAAAAGGTGACGGGAAAAATATTAGAAAGAAATTTTTCAACGTTCATTAAAACGTAATTGACGTACATAGCGTTGTCCTAATAATGGCGTATCGTTCTGCTAATTAAACTGAACTTCCTCAGGCGTTATACGCGTAACGGAATTTTAATGAGGCCGCGCGAGAAAACAGTTTGGCCAGCGATCGCGTTGCTTGATCACATTAGATCGTTTCACATTCACTCAATGAGTAGAAAAATATCAATATTTTACTATGTATGACACAAAATAATTGTTAAAATGATAAAATAAATTCTAATTAATATAATGGAGCAATAATATATATAATTAAAAGAAACATGTACCTAAGTTTCGCGAACTGAAAGAGAACTTAGAGAACTACAACTACATATAAACATCAACTGAGAGTTTTATATGCACGTAATTTTCTTTCTAAATTATTTGGATAAAATTTACTCTTGATTAATTGAAGAATCTATAA